TTGTAAGGGGGGACCGCCAATGGCGTTATTGTAATTACATAGTATGAATTTTCATCCTTTTGATGTTTCCTATTGTCACTCCCCCAAAAGCTTAACGTACTCTTTGAGGGGAGGTAGGTAGTCGAGTGAGCTCATAAGCGTGTAAAGGTTAAGCACGAGATCCCCTCGACACTGTATTGTGTGCTTGTGCTTACCACTGATTAATGCAATACAAGTTGCCTTTTGTTTAATTCGCGTGCCTTCTTGTTGCCTTTTGCGTGTTGTTGCTTGCATTTGTAGGATTTCTCGACCCCATCGAGCGCCGCACGGGGCCTCATCGTTTAGCCCCGTGACACTAGGGCGACACCAAATCTAGGGTCCTAAGAAAAACAAACTAGCCGATTGAGCAGAAGAGGCAGATTCACCAACTTGATATGTGCAGATTTCCAAAAACTGCTGCCCCAAGCGAGATCAGAATTCCCCCAATACTTGTCCAATCACAATGAGATTTTCTGAGTAGGTAAACCAGGTCTGGGAGACACACCAGATAAAGTTTCACTTCAAACAGATGCTTTCCTAAAGAGTTCTATGAAGATTTTCCTTGCTGAAATCGCATAACAGAGTAACTGGGATTAGGGTTGACTGAAACAGCCCTAGCTTCAGTCGATGAGTCCAGAAACCAGCAAGATTTTGAGATATCAGAGAGAGAGCATGAAGCAAGAACTGATTACAGAGCAGCCTGCTCTGATACCATGTCAACCAGGCAGTTCGTACCAGAGAGGAGAAGACAGATTTCTAGGGTGAAGAACTGAATAGTTCGGCCCCACCCCAAGAGCCTCAATATAAAGATTAATAAAATAAGAATGTTTACAAAAAAGCCCTTGCAGGGCTAAAGAGAAAATAAGAATAAAATACAAGATACAATACAACAAGGATTACACTAATATGGTACATCAGTGAGACTCTTCACAATAAATAGATCCAAGTCTGGGATTATCGGATTGGATGTCGAATAGGGTATAAGACTTTCAAAGTCTATTAACAGCCCTAGCCTTAATGGTATATGTCAGTCAGGATACTAGATGCACCTCTCCATTTTCACCACCCTGCTCTAATTCTATGTGCAGCATCCTCTTTAGCTTCTCCCTTGTTATAGATGATTGATCCAAAGTACCACAAACAATTAGTTTGGGGCAGGGCTGTAATCAGGTTGAATTCAAATCAGATTCATCAAAATCCAAATCAATCTGATTAATAGAATATTAAATCCAAATTCAATATAATCCAATCCGATTTTGGAATCTTGAATCAGATTCGGATTTAATCAAACTCTGCTTCATATTTATTACAATAAAGAACTAAACTTAAAAATAAAAAATAATTGTTTTAAATTTATATTCAATAAATTAATATAAATTTAAAATATACATTTATTATATAAATTAATATAGTATAATATATAAAATTATATCTATTTATATTTATATATAATTATATGATTTTAATATATTAATATAATTATATTTTCATATGTTATATATAATAATCAAACTTGGATTTTAATCGAATTGAATGGGGTTAAATCTACATCTGATTAACCCCGTCTGATCCAATTATTAATTGGATATGAAATGCAAAATCCAAATCTGGTCCAATTATGTAGGTGGATCATCTGAATCCAAGAAAATCGGATCAGATGTCAGATAGGATATTAGAGTTCCAGTGCCCATTAACAGTCCTAGTTTGGGGTATCTCTTGATCATCAATCTTAATTGCACCACCACTGTTACTGATACTTACTAAAATAGTAAAATTGCAATACATGCATTCTGCCCAAGTCCAACTTATCTTGAAACCTTTTCATTCAAAACCATCTCTCCACTTTTCTAGCTTTCAGCCTATCCTTCATTCCATCTTTAATCTTATAATCAATACTATATCATCGCCAACAAATTCTTTTATATGGTTAAGTAAAGAAGTTGTTAGAAGCAAAGAGACATACTAGAATGAATGTTGAGACAAGACTTCATAATGAAAAACAAAGTGTCTCTCATGTCTCAACAGGAGACTTTGTCCATAAAACTATACATCTTCAAAAGTACATCTAAAACATTCCAAAAGTTGTTGCCGAATGAGATTTTCTCCACATTCCTCAAACTTTGAGATGGCTATCCAATCCAAAAGAAGAGCACCTATATATCAGCAGAAAACCTTCTTCATTTCTTGATTTTACTTCAAAGATAATCTTATTACTCTCTGTCTAGATTCCCCCAACAAAATACAAATGTAAGTTTGTCAACTAGTCAAGTTTAGTACAGTTTGCCTCCACCCTAACCCAGACCGACTTAATAACACACGCTTTCCGAACCCAACCTGATCCTATTGGGTTCAACCCAATATCCACCCGACCAACCCTCAATCTTTCAATTGTATTTTTTATAACACAGTGAAAGAAGAAAATCCAAACAAACATGAAAAGAAATCCTAAACTTTAAGGTTATGGGGTTAAAAGTCATACCAAATTGCAAGACTGCCCTCTCTATGTAGGGACATTATGACTAAGTGGGCCAGGTTTACTGTTTAATCCGACCCATTAACACCCCTTTACAAATGGAATAGCAGAAGACCAATATGACAGGTTTCATGAGGCATGGCAGTGTGATATCTTGGCCTCCAAAACAGACAAAAAAGAATGACCAACATACACTACCACCATGTGGGAAATGAATAGATGGCAAGCATCCTTCTTGGGTTTAGCACATGTGAAGCAAACACTTGCCATATGAGAGTTGTCAAAATACTATCCAAAGATAGGAGACAAAATGATTTTATTCTTGTTGTATGGGATTTTTTCCCAAAATTTTCCACTGCAGCAATTAAAGTCATCATCTTCTTCAACCTTCATGCCAAACTTGCTGAAAACAATATAACCTATAAAAGAACTATAACATAATGAAACCAAAATGAAACTATATCACTAGGAAAGAAAAACTACAAGAAAAAAGGATCACACCAAGTCACTTTCTATGGTTCTTTATTTTTCCCTTTTTTGTGTATATGAAGCAATTGTTTCTTTCATATTACACAATTAACTACCTTAGAAATGGCCTTTCCCTCAAAAGTTTTTTCTGTTCCCTTCCCATCCATGATCCATGTACAAAGTAAAAAGGGACATGCATTCTTATCCCCCCCTGGCAACCTCCAGCAGAATCACTAGCCTTCTTAGTTATGATCAAGTAGCAGTCTCAATGTCAAGCTAAAAGGACTAACACAATACTCATATGTAGAGAGGAGAGCAATACATTGGAGATGAATCAACAGTCACCTTTAATTGATTACAGTACAGATGAAAATTAAGGATTCTCCCAAGCACATGATGTAAAAATTTGAGTGCACCAAAAATACATGTTTTTGTTGCCAAAAGAATTTGAAATGATTCACAAGAAAAGTATCTCAACAATCAAGAACTACATTAAAATAATCATATTCTGTCAAAACAGATTGATTACTTAGAAAGCATCCAAACAAGGAACAATGCAGGTGCTCGTCTTTTAGACCAACAAACCTCATTAGCTTTCTTGGAGTGCTTTTCAATGGATTTTGACCACTTAAGATTTTTTCCACCAATGCTCAATACCTTTGATTTCCTCAGAGAAAATCCGCATCTTGTGTAAACTGTGTCCCTCTTCCTTGAGAGCAGCAGTTTCCTACTGAAAATAAAATGGAAATCGATTTTTTGTCTCATTTTTAGCAGATTGAGTTTACAAAAAATATAAATTATAGCATACCAGATCAGTGAGAAGGAACTTATATTGGGAATGGAAGCAGAACTATGCATAAATTGTCTCCAGTATGCTGTCCTTTTCCATGGAAAGATGTATGGCAAGACTTTTTGACGTTGCATTGCATTAGTATCTTCACTTGGAGATTGTGCCCCACGTAGTGTCCACACCAAAGAGAATTTTGAAGGTTTACATGTCTTCTGTAAGACTGCATGAGTGAAACCAACTTAAGAATTTGTTTGACCAGGTTTTTTTTTATCAATAACAGAAATTCATTAGAAATGCTTAAAAAATTACAAGATAGGGAGAGGTAAACTTTCTAAACTCTCCACAGACCAAAAAAAAACTATTACAATTGAGCCCAAAACAAATGGTTCCTCCCCACCCCATGTTTTTGTTGTGGATGCTTTTACAGCCGCTAACAGCAGCAGTGATGGACAAAAGCAGTAATGGGCGATTAATTCAGAGTTTAATGGACAGCAGCAGTAATGGGCGATTAACTCAGTGTTCTCATCTTATCTAGCTAGATACAGTTCTATCTTATCTAGTAGGGAGTCTTATCTGTTCAGTGTTCTTATCTAACTTCAGTAGTATAGATCAGTAGGGAGTCCTCCTAAAAGTGGGATTCTTATCTTCTTGTAATCTCCTATTTAAAGGAGCTAATGATATTCAATAGAGGCATCGAAATTCTCAATCAAGATAGAGTAGAGGAGAGTTGGTGATCTCTTGAACAAAGCACCATTAAGGCGCCAAGATAGGTTCCTCAAGAAAAGGGAGGAACAAGGAAAAACAGGAGGTTTTCCCCGTGGACCGACCCGTGACGAGATCCTATTCGCGGGCCTGTAACAGTTTTGCTAAGACATCAGCAAACCCATTTGCTGCTGGACTTCCATATCTTGAGTCATCCACTTGAATCTCTGTTTTTCATTATTGAAAGTCCAAAAACCTTTATTTTCTTTTTACAACCACTCCAATACCAGCTTTGATTAGGTATTATATAAATAGAATATTTTATGGCCAGAATTGTGTCAGCAATACCAGCTTTGAAGTACTCCGTGGGCCTTCAAACAAGTGATAAGGGAAGTGGAAAAGGTTGCAAAGGAGGTAGAGGCTGAATTCAAATGGGTTAGATGATTATCTTGCCAAACAAGGGGTTTTGAGGTAACAATTGTTTGGGCTGCAATGTAAAGTGGGACAGAAATATGTTCTAGTGTGGGAGCATTAATCCCATACACAAGCTGTAAAATTTTATTTTAACCCTAAATTTAAAAAAAGTTCTCTTTTTCTTATCAAAAAAAAGATATCCATTTTTTGGGCATTGGGTAGCCCAAGATCTTTTTTTTTGTCTTGGGACTGCTTATTTGCACCTTTCTTTCTCATACTTCAATACAACACTTCAAATGCTGATCAAGAAAATTCATATGGATACATTGGGAATACGAAATAGAACCCTTCCATGTGCCCTAAAGTCATGAAAGTAAGCAACTCTCTAGGAGGGTTTGGGCAAATAGCTGGAGTGAGGCACTTTTCACTTCATACAGTTGCATTATCATGAGGCAGAACCTGTAATCTTTAGAAGATTCCAAAGAACTCAAGGACATCTCACAATTATCTAGGCCAGAATTGAAAGGCTCTTAAGCTCTATAAGACCATAGATGGGCCCAACAAAGTGTTTTAGAAGTGCAAGGTAAAAAAAAAAACCACAAAGGCCATTTTGTGCCTGAGGCGCAAGGTGCAAGTTTTTTAAGAATTTTAAAAAATGAAAAAAGTGTTAAAAAATCAAAATAAGTTAAGAAAAAATTAAAATAGCTCGACAAGGGGTGAACAGAAATTCCATATTTTGGGCTGCATTGTAATCCTTGTTTTGATATTTAATGATTGTCCTCGGGAGCTAAGATTGTTTAGCCCCCTTGCCTTGTAACTTTTCAAAATATTAATACAATTCACAGTTATTGATTAAAAAAAATCTAATCTCAATTTTAAACTAAATGATTTAAAAAGTCTATTAGCTCAAATTAAAACACATAAACATAACATATAAAACATATTCAAAGTGAAAATTGCAAAAGTTTAAAAAAAAAACATGCAAAAATATTCAAGCATGTCAAACTTTTAATTTCTTTATTTCCGTCCCAATTGCATTATTTCCAATAGCTAATGTGATGTTAAAAATCTTCCATTCCTAATTCTCCAATTATCAACTTTATTGAAGTTTCAATGAGAAGAAGGCTTGCTCAACAACTCAAGTATCTCAAGTTAGCAATTTGGGAGGCTTGGACTCTTGGAGTTGAAAGGCTTCAACTGTTGAAATCAAGTTGGGATTCCGAACCGGTAATACGGGTAAATGCAATTAAATTATTTTTTTTAGAATTTAAAAAAATGGCCATCTCCTCTCGAAACTAATTCCCCAACATGTTCAATGTCAACGATATTCAATCGCAAGATGGTAGTATTAGCACCAATATGGATGCTATTGACATTGACGGAACTTCCACCCCTAGTACTAATACTAGGGGAAAGAAATGGAAGGCCACTAAGTTGATTAGCCCGGTTTGGAAAATATTTAAAGTAGAGGAGATTCAGGGAAAGAGAAAAAGAGTTGTTTGCCAAAAATGTAGGAAAGACTTTAGCTATTGTAGCAAGGGTCGTACTGGCCATTTGGGCAGACATTTGCTCACCCATGAGAAAGAAGAAGGGAGAGAAACAATACAAACACAACTTGGGCGAGGGGTTTTGGGACTTTTAAATATTCTCAAGAAAAAATGAGGCAAGAATTAGAAATATACATTGTACATGTTGAACAATCATTTTTGTTAACTGAAGATACTAAACTTGAAAAATGGTTACGTAATTCTGTAAATCCACAATTTAAAAAAGTTTCTAGGAATATTATTAGATCAGATGCTTTAAAAATTTTTTATTCATATAAACAAAATTTAATTTATATGTTATCAAATCTTAATTCTAAAGTTGCAATTACTTCTGATATTTGGACTTCTAAATTTAACATAACTTATATTTGTGTTACCGATCATTTTATTGATGAAAATTGGCTTTTAAATAAAAGAATTTTAAGTTTTACTAGGCTTGAATGGCCACATACTGGCCMARCTATTGYTGCAAGTATTTWAAMTACTTTACATGCTTATGGAATTGACAATAAATTATTTTCTATTAGTTTTGATAATGCTAGTAATAATGATTCAACAATAAATATTTTAAAATCTCAATTAAAACCATGTTTAAATGGTAAATTATTTCATATCACATGTGCATGTCACATCTTAAATTTATTTATTCAAGATGCTTTAAATATTATTTCTATTCATATTTCTAAAATTAAAAATTGTATTATATATTATATATTAAAAGTTCTGGAGCAAGAAAACAAGAATTTAAATATTTGTCAGAATTATGGTTTAAAATATAAACATTTTAGATTAGATGTTAAACATAGATGGAATTCTACCTATGCTATGTTAGAAAGTTGTATTTCTCACAAACAAATTTTAAGTGATTTTTATAATGCAAAAATGCCTACTAATATTATATTTGAGGAAGACTGAAAAATGGCAATTTGTATAAGAAATTTTTTAAAACATTTTTATGATGCAACTAATGAATTATCAGGTATTTATTATCCAACTAGTTGTAATTTAGCTTATTAATTAATGATGATTAGTGATTGTTTTGCAAAATATAGAAAGAATCCACAATTTAAAAGTATTGTTAAAATAATGGAAAATAAATTTAAAAAAATATTGGGAGAACATTTCTCCTCTTTATTGCTTAGCTACAATATTAGATCCTATGATTAGGAAAGATGGTTTAGATATTTTACTTGAAACATATTGTGAAAATAAGAATATTGAAATTGGAAATAAAAAAGAAAAATTTAATTGTTTATTATTTAAAATGTATAGTTTATAAGAATTTGAAGTAATAGGGAATAATAAAAATTCTACAACTTGTATAGTTGCATCTTCCACTTCTGAACTTGAGTCCAGTAGTGGAAGAGAAAAACTTTTTTATTTAAGAAGTAAGAAGCAAAAATCCACTATACAAGAAGTTCATTTACTAAAGTTAATTTTTATTTACAAGCAATTTTTCCTATTTTAAGTGATTCTTCCTCCACCTCGGAGAAAGACAAACACTCTTATCTTCCAAATACAACTTAAGCCTTCAAAAGAAAAGAAAAGGAAAGGAAGAAACAATAAAATTACAATTTAGCCCAAAACATTGAATCCCTTTCTACCCCTTGTTTAGCTAATCCATCAGCTAAAGAATTAGCTGATCTTTTAACCTAAATCATCTTCACTTCCATCTCCCGCACCAGCCACTTAAATTTTCTCTTCTCATTGCTGTAATTCCATAAGCCACTGCTATCTTTATTCAGCCACCCTATCACCACCTTCGAGTCCCCTTCAATTATCAGCTTTCTAATATTCATCTCCTTAGCTTTTTGGATTCCTTCCATAATTGTATAGATCTCAGCTCTAAGGGAGTCACCCACTCCAATTTGGCCTGAGAACAAGGCAGAAATGACCCCATTCTCATCCCTAAATAGACCCCCAATCCCTGACTGTCTAGGATTCCCCCTACTACTCCCATCAAAGTTTAGTTTTATGAATCCAACAGGTGGTGGGGTCCAAGGCACACTCAAAGTTTTTTTTTTTCATTTCTTTGTTAGATTTCTTATTTTTTTCAAATAGTTCCCAAAGGAAAGTTAAATATTTTAGTTTTGTTTAGCAAATAAATAAATAAATAAATAAATAATGCCAAAAAAATAGTCTGGCCCGGTTCAGCCCACACCCAAGGCTCGGCCTATGGCCCAACTCGCCCGGTCCAAACCCACAGCACGGCACAGGCCCGCACAGGCTTGGGCCCTGGGCTGTGCCAGGCCACCCCCCTAAATTATCCCTAGGGAGGGTGGCATGGCCTAAGATGGCCTGCGGGCCAGCACGACCCATTTTACACCTCTACCTTGATGCAAGCACAAACAAGTCCATGTTAGGGTCTTAAATTCTTAATCCCTTACAAAAAATGATTTTATAATTTTAATAATCTTCTAAAATATTACGATAAATGAATAAACAACATTAGCAAATAGGGGTTCTCTGAGCTTCGATGAGCAAAGGCAAAAAGAGCAAAAAAGGCGCACACCTGGGCTGAAGCACAAGGTGCACCAGGCACGCACCTTTTGAAAGTGCTGCAACAGGGGCATAGGCAAGGCGTATACCTTAAAATGTCCCTTGCCTTTGTCCCTAGGGATGCCTCCGAAGCAAATAAAGCAAGTCAAGAAATCCATGTAATCCACATAAGCATAAACCATGTATTATGCGTGAACTTCTGCATTTCATAAGTCCAGTAAAGACTACAGATTCTGAATTAATTTAAATCGGCATATATTGCTGAACATAGTGAGACATTCATTAAACGTATCAAGATTTTGTACAACGATAAACCATTTAGGTGCAACAATCAGCATAAAATGCAATGTCAAATATATTTCAAAAGCTTATAAATCATAATAGAATGAAAAAATATCATGTTCTAGTTCTAGTTGCTCTAAACTCCATATAGATTTCCAGGCAACTAAGGGGGTTTTCACCAATAGGTATTATTTTGTTTTTTTCTGATGTGGCAGTTGTTTTTGTTTTGAAATGCAAAATCATCCATATTTGCAAAAAAACTAAGAGAAGAAAAATAAAACTACAATAATTGAATAGGTTGTGAAAGACAAACCTTTATAAGGTGTCTTCTTACTTAAATTTCTGCTGCATTTTGAAGAGGAAACCTTTTGAACCCTTTGTCCCTCTGAATTTGAACTGTCCTCGGGGGCAGCAACTGTTAGCTTGGCATGGCTTCCTGATGATGTGGCATTTCGAATAAGCTGGTTCTTTTTCTTTTTGTAGTAACAATCAGAAGATATCAAAGAAGATAAAGATTGCATCTTTTCTGCAACATGGATAGATGGATCACAATGCTCAGGACTTGCAGCAGCAACCAACTGATTTGACTTACGCTTTACATATATTATGCTCTTCGATAAGGACTTTGAATTTCCATCATTAAAGATGTTTTGAATTCCAGAATTTGTGCTCGAACCAGCTTGAGTTTCGGAAGCTCTGGTATTCTGGAGTGTATCCTCTCTTTCCGCAAGTTTGGGAAGATCCAGTATATTTTCTGAACCATCTTCTGAAAGAGGATCTGCCAATGCTGAAGACATGCAATCTCGTGAAGACTTCATAGTGCAGTTTGCTATATTGGTGCTTTGTGGTAAGGGAGGTGTTTTGGGAATCTCGAGAGAAGCATTCATTCTGCCTGTTCCTGTTCTAAAACTATTTGGAGGATCAACATTTTCAACCTTGAATTCAGAATCTGTATCATTCTTCGTTTCATCCTTACCCACAGGATTCAACCGGTAAACCTTATTCAAACTACGAGAAGCCTGAGGAAGAGCAGCAAAAGGAGCACATTTTCTTACAAGGCTGTTACCCTTGCGTATGTAAGAAGTGCCCTGAACCTTTCCAAGTTTTCTTGGTGACTGCCTTTGTGAAGTACTGGTGCTTGGAGATGACTTTTTACCATCCAAAGTAGAAGGATTATCTGTTCGACGCCATGTCCGTGGCCTTGAAAGATGAGTTGAATAAGAAATTTCTTTCAAGGGACCCAAAACAAAAGATGATCGACTGGGAAAAACATGAGATGTTTGCTGGGACTTCTTACCATTCAATTCGACACCCTTCAGCTTCAGACTATGTGTTAGTTTTTTGGTTTCCAGTGATGGCAACAACACATTCTTCTCTGTAATTAAGTTACAACTCTGTACATTCTTATTTGGTTTCACATTAAGTTCAAGCTCAGAAGCAAATGAATCATTACCACTTAAAGGGGAACCACCTATCAATGACTTCTCATCAAGTTTATGATCACCCCTAATGTCCTTTTCATTGGACACATGGCTAAGCAACTGCTTGGCATTCAACATTTCTGATTCTGTATCCATAGGAAAAGATTCTGGGGTGTCAACCTTGTTAACATTATCAAGCGACTCCATTGGCACATCAGTGGAATTACCCGTAGAGACTTCAGGGGTCTCTGCACCTAAAGATAAATAATTGGACTCAAAGGGCAATTCATCTTTCACCAGAAGATATTGACCATCACCCTCTATTGTTCTACCAGGTGATTTCTGATCTAAATCTGAAGCCTGGAGTTCTAAAGGCACTCCAGACGATTCTTCCCGACTCTGTGAATGCAATGCAGCAATGTCTTCACTGTTCTTTCTACTAAGCATATCATTTACATCTGATTTATCAACTTCAGTTTGTTCTCCACTTCCTTTTGCACTTTCCATGTCCATAAAATTATCTTTGCAAGAATGTTCCTTGCAGTTGGTCATGGACACACAAGGAGCTTCTTGTTGCCTACCTTGCAATACTGATGAAGGGGACTGCGTACTTGGAGCAGCCAAATCCTCAACAACTGAACTAGAACCCACATTAAGTTGATCCAGTTTACTTATGTTCTCACTAGATGCACCTCCAGCTGAAACTATGGGCTCACAGAATGCCTCCACTGCTCTAGTCTCAGGTACATTTCTTCCATTTTGGCAATTCTGCAAACTGACATTACATACAATTCCATTACCAGAAACTTCAATGTGTTCTGGCTGCTTTAAACCTTTCCCAGAACTCAAAGCAACATCTGCACCATTGGCAGAGGTATTGGTGTATAAGGCTATCTTGTGAATTTCAGGTGCAGGAGAGCTTGGAAAACTCAAAAGCGGAGCCATGGCTTTCCTCTTCCACTTAATCTTAGGTGTACATGTCCCATCAGAACCAATTATTGTGAGACAACTCTCTGAACCTTTAACCTCCAGAAACCCTTCTCCTGCATAGTTCCCACATGATGCACCAGGTTCATTTAAAGAGTGCAAGCCAACATCACAAACAGTCCCAATACCAGAAATTGGAACTTGTAGTTCTAAATGTGTTCGGGCCTTGTCAGAACTCAATGCAGTGCCCACCTTTCCTGCAGAGCTATCTCCATTCACAATAGGTCCCTCACCAATTTCCGATGCCTGTGAATTTAACAAACCCAAAGAAGGGGACATGACCTTCTTCTTATCACTCTTCGATATACATTTTCCATTTGAAATAAATGTACCCTCACCTCTCACTGTATCTATGGCCTCCTGAAGTACTTCTATTGCACTATTCTCAAGTTCTACCAAAGCCTCCTTAGGACAAGGATGTGAGCCTAAATCATCCGCAGTTCTAGTGCTGGAAATTGTAACTGCTTGTTCATGTCTCAGACCAGTGTCAGAACTCATGCTGGCCTCAGCATGATGGTTGGAGCTACCTGAACATGGCAATCCTTCGTTCATGTCAGATACCTCCGAACTTAATGATCCAGAAAGAGGGACTACGACTTTCATTTTCTTCCTCATCTTTCTTGTAAGTGCCCTAGCAGAAACACCATTTGCACCACCTTTCACTGAAGTCATAGTCATGGAAGATTGTCCCAATGTGTTGTGCCCAAGTGACACAGTAGCTTCCTTAGGAGAAAGTTGCAAACCAACATCATTCACGGTCCCAATGCCAGAAACACTAACTTTCTCTCTGGACTGCATTAGATCTTTGTCGGAACCCAAAGTGCTACTTGTACCTTGGGGAGAGCCATCAATGTTTTTAGGTCCCTCAGGGGCACCAGATGTCTGTAAACTTGATGCACTGGAAACAGAGGACAGGACTTTCTTCTTTTTCTTGTGTTTAGGTGCAGAATTCTTATCATAGATGACATTAACACAACTCATAGAAACCATGGACTTTTGAGGTCCTTCTGCTACACTATTCACGGTCACAGACAACCCAGTGTCCTGATTTGGAAAAGAATGCTTCCCAACATCTTCAGTTGCTCTCAAGCCAGAAATTCTAACTTTCTCTTCGGGCGCTGTTGGGCCCTTGTCAGAACTCAAGGCAGCACCTGCACCACATGTGGACCAATCCACATTTACAGGTTCTTCATGGACTTCAGAGGGCCTAGAATTTGACAAATCTGAAACAGAGGACAAGATTTTCCTCCTCTTCTTCTTAGTTTTAGGCATACAAGTCCTATCAGAAACAGTATTAACTCTATCAACAACAGAAACTGTATCCCTAGAAGATCCTTCCTTTTCAAGTGATAAAATTACCCTATTTGGACAAGCTTGTGAACCAACATTTTCCTTTTTCTCTGTCCCAGAAACTTGAACCTTGTCTTTTGACTCCCTTGGAACCTTGTTGGAACTAATGATAGCATCCACACCACAAGTGGAGCTATCTGCATTTCCAGGTCCCTTATCAGACGCCCTTGAATTTGATAAACGTGAATCAGAGGACCAGGCTTTCTTCTTTTTACTATTCGGAGTGCAAGTCCCAGCAGAACCAACATTAATACTATTTCTTGTCGAAACAGCCTCATCAGTTCCATTCGTTGCACTGTTCTGAAGTGAAAAGGTGACCTCATTTGGACAAGGCTGCACACCAACATTATCCACTGTCCCAATACCAGAATTTTTAACTTTCTCTTTTGACAGAATTGGAGCCTTATCAGAACTTGAGGAGGCATCTGCCCCATGTGTAGAAATATCTCCATTTACCGATCCCTCACGGAGCTCAGGTACCCGTGAACTTGACAAACCTGAAACAAGCGTCAAGACACTCTTCATCTTCTTAGCCCCTGGGGTGCCCGTCCCTTCAGAACTAACAACAGAACTTGGAGGAGTCAAAATAGCTTTGGCCACTAGAGTATTAGACTTGAAAGAAACATCGAGTTCAACAGGGCTACCTTCTCTGTCTTCTTCTGTTCTATAATCAGAGAATACAAGGGGGCCTTTACCTCTAAAAGAACCAGAGTTAGACTCATCAAAGTATGTGGATGGTCCAAAATGTTCATCTCGCCTTTTCCTAAGGGAAGGATTTGCTAACTGAACCCTAACTAGAGCGCTTGGCTTTTGTATTTTCTTCTTTGGAGTATGAATAATTTCTTGGTTACCTTCCACGGTAATCCTGTTCTTAAACCTCCCCATTTTTGAAGTGTAGGTATAGTGTTTTTCTGGGAGAATTCGACCATTTTCATCTCTAACAATCTCTGTATTTTCCCTTTCAGTTCCCGAATGGTGATGAGCATAGGAGCCCACGTCTTTCGAATGTGGCCTCGACGACTTCCATCTCCTGTTTGCATCCAGATCGGCTCCTCCTCCACTATTCCATGAGCGTCCATTATTGAACTCTAAGTTGTGGCGAGAACCATGATGGCTCGTCGTCACAGACTCAAAATCCCTAGACGACATGGTGGGCTCAAACGCAACATGATGACGGTAATAATCACCATGACCATTACCACTACCATTACCTCGATGATTAATTTGATCCCATATCAATTCCTTGCCAGAATACTCTCTAAACCCAACGGCCGCTTCTGGATCGTCTCCAAATCTATTTTGATCAACGAAATTGCCATCATACGGAGACATGGGATGGCTGAAGGGAGGGTGATGGGGTTCATTTTCCCAAGCAACAGGGAAAGCCGCCGGAGGATGAGGCGGTGGCGGGGGGCGGTTATCGGGCGGAACCCTATGTAGATCCCAGGCATCAGAAGTGTTGAATTCGGGCCCTCGAAGACGGGGATGCTCTTCGGGGAAAGGAAGGTGGTTGTGACGGTGGTGTTCGAAGATTAGACGATCGACAACCCTAGCAGGGCGGTCAACATCGAAGGCATGTCTTCTGGGGTCCTCCTCGATAGGGTGAGAATTAGGGAAAGGGAATTGGGAATGGTGATGATACGGAGTAGGGTTTGGTGGCGGAGCCGGTGGTGGTTGAAGGTTGTGGTGTGGGTGGGGTTGGGTGTGGTGGTAGAAATTCCGGTCGCCGGAAAACCTATGATGGATCGGAGCGTACCTGTTGTTGTTGCCGTGTAGGAAGGGTGGTGGTGGTGGCTCCATGGAAGATCTAGCTTCTGTTGCTGCACTTATCTGCTGTATGTGGAGTTTGGGAATTCCTCTCCAATTGTCCGATCTCGAGTTGTTGTGAGTCCATGAGGTTGGATATTGCTGCTGCTTTGTCTTTGAACAACTCTTTTGGCTGGAAAGTGAAGCCAAAACTCCGCTTTAAGAAGGCGCGAGAGATGCGTTTCCCGCGCCATACGTCTTCTTTTGGGCCGTGCGGCTCGTGCCATGTAATTGAAAATTTGAGATATGCTTGTGGGCTTCCGTGGGCTGTGGGCCTGTGGCCACCGTAAAGGCCCAAACCCATGTTTACTGTTTAGGAGGCGCAACGAAATGGGTCCGTATTGTTTTCCCCCAATTGTTGCTATCTGGTTCATTTGGAGTTGGAATCATAATCAATTAAAATGATTTTATTAATATTTTATGAATATATTATTGTTATTATTATTTTATTAGTACTTTGTTCTTATGATGTTATAAGTATTTAATAATTAATATCTTAATATTTCATTAATATATTATTACTTTAAAAATATTTTTATTATTTTTTACTGATAATTTATTATTTTATTACCAGAGTATTAATATTCTATTATAGTATTATTTTGTTATTGTGTTAAATTTAATTTTTTATTATTATTTAATAAATAATATCTTTGCTTTTTATTATTAATTTATCAACTAGGGGGATGCCCCTACGTCACAAGGTGAAATAGAAAATTGACATTTGGAGATACAATAATAAATTAAGTTACTCTTTTGTTAAATAAAATAACTATAAGTATATTGCTACGAATAATAAACAACTATATTGGGCCCCATTTTGGTTTAGGACTATCAACGGATTAGGTCTAGGTAGAACCAATCTTGAACCAATTATTTAATTGGGATAAAATCATAGACCTGATTATGTCCAAATAATAACTTAATACCAAAATGTTTTTATGTTAATAAGTTAAACATTTTTAACTAATATTATCTTATTTATTATTTATCAAATTTTCTACTTTAAACATAAAACATGATAAAAATTACAAGAAAGTTAAAAAAATTATATATTTTCATAAAATAATCGGTTCCAGATCTAAATCATTTTTTTGACAAGTAAGAGCAAAAACCAACCCAATTATTAATCGAGACAAAATCACGGAACAATAACCATTATAATTATGTTCAATCAATAATTTAGCTCAATCAAGTCAGGAATGGCAACAGGGTAGATTTAAGGCGAGGCACCCCCTCAACGTCTCTGCCCTGTAGCCAAGATACTTTGCCCCGTCCCCGCCCCGTCCCTGGTTCAAGGAAAAAATATTTTCCTCGTCCCCGCCCAATCCTTGTTTAGGGTCAGGGAAAACTCGCCCCGTTCGGGGCAGGGCCCCAGTCTTATAGAGGAAATTGCCATACCTACATCAGATAGACCCAACCCATTGGTTCAACCCTAGTTTTCTTAAATAAATTAATGTTTATATAATAATTCATAAAATAAAATAAAATAAATGAATAAATAAAAATTTATTGGCATGAGACTAGTATAAGCTATTTCAAACCAAACCCAACCTATTGCCAGCCCTAAATATTGGGCTCAAGGGGAGAGAATAATTTGTTAGTAAATTATTTATAAATAAATAAATAAAAGTTGATTAACTCAATGTTAAACATCCTTTATTTTATTGATTTATAAATAGTTTATTTACTTTTATTAAACAAATAAATGCTTAGATGATGATGATAATAATAATAATAATAATAATAATAATAATAATAATAATAATAATAAATTAATAAATAAAAGTTGAGATAGAGAATAGGATGAGAGAGAGAGAGAATTAGGCGATAGGGAATAGAGATTATATTTTATTTTATAAGATGGCATAATTGTAAATTATATGTGGCACTCCTCTAATTTTTGAATGTTATAAAATCAGTTACATTAGAAGGTTTGTCTTATATATGTCATTCCTGTAATTTTTGAATATCATTGAGGCAATTACATAGTGAGTTAAACAAAGTAAAATTGTCTTATATGTGACACTTCTATAATTTTCAAATGTCATACAGTCAACTACATCGGAAGGTTTGTCTTATACATGACAGTCTTGTGGTTTTTGAATATCATTGAAGTAATTACATAGTGAGCTAAAGAGAGTAAATTTGTCTTATATGTGACAATTTTGTAATTTTCGAATACCATAAAATTAAATATATAAGGAGGTTTGTCTCTATTCGGCATTCTTGTAATTTATTGATGTCATTTTCGCATGCTTCGTGGTATTTGTATGTGAGATACCGTTTATTGGAAGGAGAATACACGACCGTACACCCATTTTATTGTTAGTATATATATAGATGTCTTATTATAGTACTATTGCTTTATTAACATTTTACTAATATATTATTGTTGTTGTTGTTGTTTTAATTATTAATATTGTCTTATAAATACTTTTACAATATTATTAATTATTAATGTTTTATTATTATTTTATGAATTATTTATTAATGTTATATTATTATATTTAATAATTAATATCTTTGTTTTCAAGTATTAATTTAATAATATTTTGTTAGTATTAAGGTTTGGGGATATTTTTGTTATGAGATCTTTACTTCTTAACAAACTTTAAAATATGAATACATTCCTTAGGGGGAGCCTAGAATGACTGTTCCCCCATACTAAGAATCCCATTCTTGGCATAATGGGAATTGGAATCTCATTCCAACCAAACAAATAGTTTGAATTAGAATTGGTCGTTATAATTCAAATTCCAACACCTATTCCAAGGAACCAAATAGACCCTTAGCATAGAAGGCTATTTGACCCATCTTCACGGATTTCAACCTGCCCAGGGTAGTTTACTGTATTACATAATATAATATAATATATCTTAACATAAATTTCAATATAAATTATATTATATTATATTACATAATTATACATAGGTTAAAAAAATCCAATGTTTTAAAAAATGACTCGAAAACATAACCATTTTGGCCATTAGTTTCTGGGTCGACGGTTCGACTGCCTGGTTCGAACAAATGGACCATTATGACAAACAAATTAAAAACATAAAAAATAATTAAAAATAAAAAATGGTCAAAATCATTAAATGGGTCAATGGGTCGATAGTTCAACCACCCGGATCAACAGGTTGTTGACTTTTTTAACAGTTTTTGGCCAAAGATCGAGTTTGGAGTAAAATGGAACCAGTTGCCTGAACGGTTCCTAGGCCAAACGGTCCAACCGTCTGGATTAACGATGGTTCAAAAAAATTAATTTGCAAGTAGGGATAAGGCAAATTCAAGATCCCCATTCCAAGAGTTGGAATCTATAGCCTTGTTGGGGTACAGGCTAGGGACGGGGTTGGTTTTTTTGAGTTTGGGATCAAGGAAGAGGCTTGCAAAACCCTACCTCGACCCATTGCCATTAATACTATTTAAAGGGTAGATGAATACCATATCGTGAAACAAAAGAAAAAAAGAAAGAAAGAAAATCATATTTCAATGTGAGGATTATATGGTTAAATTAGGGACTATAAACGGATTGAATCCAATCTGATTTAAGGAGAACTAAATTTGATTGTTCATATTCAATTTAGAATTGAATTTATATCAGATTCGAATCGATCAACCTTGTATTGCAATCAGATATTGAATATCATGAATGAATTAAATTAAGCATGGTAAAAATAATATGCATTATTAAGAAAATAAAAATAAAAATGATTTTGATATAAAACACAATATTCAGACCAACGTTACTAGTATATACTATATAAGTTTTAATTACACGCGAGCATATATATCTAAACCAAATGGGATCGAATAGGGATGCATCCATATTAGATCAAATTATAAGGAGACCAAATAAGGATCTTCTTTTGGGGGCGTTCGTATTTTAGATATTTAGAGAGGGGAAAGCTGGTAAAGGGGATTTTGGTTTCTACTAACCAAAATACCCATGATCTTTTTCTTAGATTTACGTGGGGTCTGATGTTGTCTAATCTGAAGTGTTTTGAATCAAAATCGTAGTCAGATAGTTTTACTAATTGGCGAAGTCGAGGTGGAAAGATGAAGCTATGTAGTGAGATTTGAAACCAAGAAAGAGATCAGAGGCCCGAGGAGTTGTTCCCTGGGTAGGCACTTCGACGCTCAAGTCAGTAATGAAAAGAATGGGTAGGTAGTCAGGTCAAGCAGTTGAGAAGAATGTCAGTCCGAGCAGAGGCAGAATAACAATATGAAAGCTAAAGAGTCTAAACGTCCATTACATTGAGCGGAGGTTATCTATCTATAGTCGAAGATCCGTGTCTGATTCGGATGAGGCTTATGGGGTTGTCGGGATGAGGTTGTCTGCTGAGGTCTTCGATCGGGATAAGTCCTAATCCTTGGCGGATCTGTCCTCCTTATCCGCACGACGCTCCTCTTCTTGGTCGTGCTTATCTGTCCTAAAGAGATAAGATGGCTAGGTAGGTGCCACATTTGGGGTGTTCATTTTAAATCAACGTTTTAAAAAACGACCCAGAAAATGGAACCATTATAGGCACTAGTTTTCGGGTCAACGGTTCGACCGTCCGGTTCAAACGGATGGCTCGTTCTGATAGCAAAATTTAAAAATAAAAATTGTCAAAAACCATTGAATGGGTCGATGATTCGACCGCCCAGGTCAATGGTTTGTTGACTTTTTCAACAGTTTTTACTAGATTCCGGGTTTGGGGTAAAACGGAATCGATTGGTTTTAATGTATGAATATCGAAGCCAAACTGAATCGAATCGATCTTATATTTTTAAGTAATTATTAATTAGTCCCTACCCTATATGTTAAATGTTGATATATTTTATTTGTGTTTTGTTTGAACTTTGAAAAAAATTGGTTATTTATGATAAAAACTAAAAA